TAGCAGAATATATATAATCATGTTAGTCCATTTTTCTTTATATGGACAAAACATTTCAAGGCTTAGTTTGAAGAGTCATTGTGATAATTTTACACTAATCTTCCATAGAAAAACTAAAGAAAGCATTCTGAAGGAAAGGCCCATTGAAAAAGAATCTGGAATATCTCGAAGATAAAGGCGAAAGAGGCCTTCTAACTTTTCATACACAGTCCTTTGCATGCGAGAAAAATATGTACAGTTGATAGCTAGAACTACATTGATTTATAAGTAGATTTGAATGATGGAAAGTAATTGTAGTAAATTACTCTGAAAATAATCTAAAAGCATCAAAATGCCTTCATTTCCCTACCAGTACCGAGTGCCTCGTTTAGTAAAGAATGAAATATCATCACTTCTGACATTTCTTCCTCCCACTTTGGATAAACAGGGCCTGAACCTGATGATAACAGCTTGATGGAATGCCAACTTTGGGCAATGTTTGGGGTTTAACTAGCACCCAAATACACGTAGGTGTGATCCATTACTGGCTCTGGTTTGGCTCAGGCAGGCCTTGAGTTAAACATGCTGCACAAAATAATCCACAATGACAGGTGAGAATATTTAAATGTTGTTCAGTGTTTAATGGAAATGCTCTGCACAATATTTAAACAGTGATAACTGTGAATACATAGAATAGTAAAAGATTAATGAGTTAGTCAATAAAATCCATGCTGAGCAATAGAAACTGTACCCTGCTGCACATTCCTCCTTAGTTCATGGCCTTTTCGGGCTTCACAGCCCGAAATTATTGTATACATTTACAACTTTCTATTTTCTTTCTCTTTCTCTCTTTTCCTTCCTTCCTTCTTTCCTTCCTCCCTTCCTTTTCCTTTTCTCTCCCTCTTTCTTTCCTTCATTTTCCTTTTCCTTCCTTCCTTCCTTCCTGCCTTCCTTCCTTCCTTCCTTCCTTCCTTCCTTCCTTTCTTTCTCTGTCCACACATGAATCATATTCAGATGATCCAGTATCTTCACATCTGAAGAACCTTATCTTAATCAGATCTTTGAGGACCCTTATTCTGTGCAACTCTGCATACTTGGGGAGATTCTAGTGCTTATATCTCAGACATCTTTAGGGACAGGAGTGAGAGATATTGCTCTTCCAAACACAGGAAATACTAGACATGATCTTCTTGAGGACAGGACCTCATATCCTCCTCATCTTTCCATCACCAGAACACACAGGAATTACTTGGCACTTGACGGGCACTCAATAAATGTTTCATAATTGCTTCAGTCAAAAACATTTATTTGGTATCTACCATATGGCAAGATACACTTTTAGGTGGTGAGAGCTACGGCAATGAATAAAGTAATGTTCTTGTTCTTATTACACTGTAGTACTAGAAAACATAGAATTTGCACAGAAATATGAATCAGATGTAAATATGCAAACAGGAGGAATTAGAAGTGCAAAGCTTCAGCAGTTCAACATGCTGCTTGGATTTAAGAAGTTTAAGGCATAACACAGCTACAAAATGAGGCTTCACAGTGATAGATGAAGAAACAATGCAAGGTGAATTGAGGTGGGCAGAGGATGACGGTATAGGATTTTGTAGTCCATGGTGAAGATTTAATTTAAACTCTGAGGTGGAAATCCATCATGAATTGGAGTAGAGGCTGGCAAAATCTGACTTGTGTCTTGCCAAATTACTCTGCTGTATTGGGCACGAACTGTAAGAAGGTAATGAAGGGAGCAAGGAAACAAGATAGGTAAGGGCACTAGTCCCAGGAAGAAGTCTCAGTGACTTAAGAGTGGCTGTTGAGGTGATGGTGAGAATGTGTGGCATTCTGGATCTATTTTTGAGATGGCACTTATATCATCTGGATGTTGTGTGAGGGAAAGAGAGTAACTAAGAATAACTTTAAGGATTTGAGCTGTGAATTGATAAGTTGAAGGAAACACCATTTACTAAACTGGCGAGGATGGTAAAACATTCAGAATTGTTTATACTATACCACACACAAATGATATAGTGAAAGGTGGGAATGGGATATTGGAGTTTAGGAGAGAGACTGGGACACAAAATTTACATTTCAAAGTCTCACAAACCTCAAGGTGGATGAATTCCGGGGGAAGAGAATCCGTGTTAGAAAGGAATTAAGAGCCAGGGTATTCTTGCATTGTGGAGGTGAGGAAAATGAAGGGAAACAAACAGTGGCATCTGTGAACAAGCAGGCTATGGGGAACAAATGGGTTCAAGAAGAGAAAGGGTGTTCTGGAAGCCAGGTGATAACATTCTCTCAAAAATGCTGCTGTTGAGATGCCAGGGAGATAAGTATTTTGAAATAACCATTTTTGTCATTATGGCTGAGACTGTATTTTGATGGAGAGAGAAATGTATGAAAATTATTCGTGGTTTTCTAAATGCCTTTATAATGTGCCCAGCAGAAAGAATCTTTGCTGCATTTCTAAACATTGACAAACACTTAAAACTATTTAATTTAGGGATGACTGGTCAAATAAATATTAGGATTTCCTTGCAGTGAAGACCAGATTGGTTTGTCATCTAGAGCTCTTTTATTTGCAAATTTTCCAAAGATATACTAGTTTTAGCTTGTCTTTATTCCTTATGTTGCAATTATTTCCCTTCTACTTGAAGACTAACAAGTCCATAAAATAGATTAATGCAACTCTAGCACATTCCATTTTCTCTGGAAAAACAAAACTCAGTTCAGGGAGAATTGTTGGAAAAATACTTTAACTTTTTACCCCATTTCCTCATGGTGGTAATAGAGATTGAATATCAAATGCTCCAGGCCAGAGATTAGCTATGGGGAGTCTTCCATTGAAAATGAGACACATCTATGAATTTATTCTCTAGAGAGCTATGTTAATGATTAGTCTTATTTAATTGTACTCTCCTACCTCTTAGTAAAATCGACGATAAAAATATTGTTTGTGCATATGTGATTTTCTGTGTCTGAATCATACAATCTATATTGCATATAATTGTATTTTGTAAAATATTATTGGGATAAACGTAAAGCATATGAAATATTGAAAATGATTAAGGGAGCAAAAATTTCTCACTATTCTGCCAATGTGCATTACAGATTTCTTAAAGTACCATGAAAGCTATTGCACATTATCCTTTCATGATTTGTTTTTCACTTTTCTACAGAAAGGAAATTTATAGTAGGTCCAGACAGATAAGAGGAAGCTGGCTGGAAAAGGACAGTGTAAAACAAAGTTGCCAGATTGAGTTCATAATCTGAAGCCATGATCTAAGAACAGAAATATTCCTGTGCATAACTTGTTCTGGGCAAAAGGGGTTTTAAAGGTATTGGAATTTTTTCTGTTTCTTAAGTTGCTGTCTGACTATTTTCCTCTTGTTAAGGATATTCTTCTTAACAATGCTATAGACATATGGTTAAGTATTTCTGTTTGATATTCATCTGTCCTAGTTCTTAGGAGGTGTTCTTTGTTGAGTCAAAACGTGTGTCCTTGAATTTTAATCTGATAAACAATCTGTGCTAAAAATGCTTGGTTTGGTTCCAGACTAAAACAAAACAAGAACCAATCAAACAGCCTTTACTAGATTAAAACTAAAAGTATGCAGAAAGAAAGGAACCATTGGTGTGTGGCCAACTTCCTAAATGACCACTCAGGATTGCGAATTCAAGAAAAGGCTAGGCAGGTATGGGGAAACAAAGACACAGATCAGAGGGACAATAGTTGGCTGCATTTCTTTTTAAATAATTGGAGCTAAATTTGCTTTCTCATATGTATTTTATTATTTAATGTCAATAAGTAGAAAAGAGGTTACTAAATGTCACCGATAGGGATCAAATAGAGCAAAGTTCAAATTCTAGATTGACAGTTACCAGGAGATTTTACCTACTTATCTGCCTTCTGCATCTCTCAGCTTCTTTAAACAGGGACGGTGGTTTAGCGATGTGGCTCAGTGGTAGAACATTACCTAGCATGCTCAAGGCCCTGGGCTTGATACTCAACACTGGAAAAGGCAAATAAAAAAGGGAAGGAAGGGAGGGAGGGAGAACAGACATAGAATGATGACAATCCAAAGATGAGATTTATGAGTGATGTAATAAGAATGACATCAAGAATTCCTCTGACTAAATCAGGCCACCCCACCCTCGGTGGCTTTTCTTATGACCAAATTATCTGTCCCCCAACCTTCTGTAAGAGATGTTTTCTGAAAAATAGTGCTGATGTATTCACAGGAAAAAAGAAAAAGAAATTCATGGGGAAAGACTAGTGCAAATTATAGACTCATACATTTTAAATATTTCTTGAGAATAGATGCTTCTCAGTTATGAATAAGACTTTTTGATTCATTTTTGTGAGGTGTTTAGTGCAAAACATACAACATTATAAGGAATAGTTTTGAAGTTTTAAATACCTCACTAGGAATCATTAAGATAAGTAAAATGGAGGGGATTGATATGTGATATTATCAAATATCACATCAAAACTAAATGTTTTCACTCACTACATGAGTTATATTTCCAGGTGTCATTTGAGAAAACTAAGAGATTATATATATCCATCCAGGATTAAAAAATGCCATGTGGGGCTTCATAAGTAAATAATTATCCTGCTTCAAGGGTATCTAGGATCTACACATCTATTTCATCTATAGTTATACAACAATGTACTTACAATTTATCAGAATATTAAAATGTATAAAAGAAAATGTCAACAAATATTAAAATACATCTAATTCAGGATACCTTTGCTTTTAGTCACTTTCGTAACTAGTCTCAATTGTTCACTGACATTATCAATCCAATAAATCTGTGCTTTGAGTTAATATTGATGACAAAATGGTAATATATAGTATCAATAACATAGCATATATAGATAGGGGCTTCCATAGGGCCACATAGAAAAGTATGAATAACAGTACTGATCACATACTGGACACTGAAGCCTGGAATGATGTAAGTTTAGCCCATGCATTTTATTCGACTTAACAGATAAACACAAATATATCCCAGTATATTCCAAGATAAAATCTTGAATCATTTAAAGACACAACAACAAAATTAATATTTATCATACTTTGGTTTATTGTAAAATTTAGCAAAGTTTTCTTTGTAATCCCTGACCCCTTACTCTGAAAACAAAAACAAAGACATCATTATTGCTTATTCTTTCCCCTACACTTTGCCTAAGCTACTGTAAGAGAAGGGAGAATGTTTTATTGTAAATAAATAAAAATAAAGATGTGACAGAGAAAAATAAATCAGACTAGATGAGCAATATTAGGAGCAACAGAAATGTCATTAAGCAGTTTAAAAATAAGCTTCTTTAAAAAGGTTGCCTCATTAAAAAAAAAAAATCACACCAAAAATATAGCAGCAGAGAAGAAGAATGCATACAAGTCAATTGCACACCAGTCCCGTGCAGAAAACAAAAACAAAAAACCTGGGTCATTAGCTAAAGCAGTAGTACTCAGAATCCAATTTGGGGTGCTTTGATAGTGCCTGTGAGTCCTCTATTATAGAGCTGTCACTAAATTGGTCCAAGTCTGATGGAGTCTGATGACCTGGGACATCGTCTGCCAAAGTGTCCAGATAGCTTCCCACAGAGATACCATCCATTCCATCGCTGCCATCATGTAGGCTGTTGTAGCTGCCATGTAAAGAGGTACTCTGACTCTCCAGTAAACTGCACAGGCTGCCACTGAGGCTGCTGCCCCGGCTTGTAATGGTGGCTTTCTCCTCGATCATCCATTTGATGGACTCAATGCTCTCATTGATAACAAGCAACTGGCGCATGAGCCTAACATCTGTGGCTCTGAGGTTAACCTACGAAGAGAGGGAGAAAGACATGCCAGTTATTCTATATAACACAAACAACACAAAACAAATTCATTTGAATCCTGCTACTGCAATTCACAATTTTAAACTCATAGAGTAAAATGCAAGTAATTATACTAGAGTTCAAGACCACTTTGGAAATTACTGGCTCATGGTAGGAGTCATAGACAAATAGCTTACTCCCTGCCAATTAGATCAGCAAAACTTCTATTGTGGGAGAAAATGAGTGAGAAGGAAGGAGAGGTAGTATTGACTAAGAAGTATTGTGCTGAGCACCAGTGGCTCACACCTGTAATCCTAGCTATTCAGGAGGCTGGGATCTGAGGATCACAGTTCAAAGCCAGCCAGGGAAGGAAAGTCCGTGAGACTCTTATCTCCAATAAAACCAGAAGTGGTGCTGTGGCTCAAATAGTAGAGCACTCACCTTGAGCTGAAGAGTGCAGGGACAGTGTCCAGTCCCAGAGTTCAAGCCCCACAACTGACAAAAATTAAAAAAAAGTATTGTGCTCATAAACTGACCTATGGAATTGTAATCCCTTTGTATAACTACCTAATAGTAACAATATCAAAAACAAAACAACAACAAAAAACTTGTACTGCATTTTTGGCTCTAACTAAACTACCTGAAAGTATCACACAGAATGGCAGATTTGTTGCTAAGAAATTTCTTTTCTGTGTGGCTACATTTATAGTTTATGTTTACATGAAAATATTTGTGTGGACCATGGGAAGTGTAGAGAACAGCAAAGTGTAGGAATAGTCATCAACACCTTTTTTATTGAGTGACAATATACCAGGTATCAGAACAAAAACTCAACATTCACTAGAATGACCTGAGGACAGACAGATATTTCTCTCATTTTAGAGAGAAAGACATTGAAATCTACAGAAGAGTACAGAAAAGGCTTCATGTCTATACTGTCTATACTGGCCTAAAGACCGCTGAATAATGCTTTCGCTCTCAAGAAGAAATGAATTGCTCTATCAGAAAAGTGCCAATATACTAGGATATCCAATTTACATAATGAAGTATATAAATACTTTTGCTGTTCTGATTGTTTCAGGACCCCTTGCTCAAAATTGAGCTGTGACATTCCTCTGTGCCATCTCAATGGGTGTGTGTGTGTGTGTGTATTTGTTTTTTGTTCAAGTCTCTATCCTTGGTCTTGAACTCTGGGCCTGGGGGCTGTCCCTGAGCTTCTTTTGCTCACGGATAGCACTCTATCACTTGAGACACAGTTCTACTTCTGGCTTTTTTTGGGGGTGGGGGGTAGTCTATTGGAGATAAAAGACTCACAAACTTTTCTGCTCAGACTAACCTTGGACAGCAATCTTCAGATCTCTGCCTCCTGAGTACCTAGGATTGCAGGCATGAGTCACTGGTGCCTTATTGTTGTATGGTTCTTCTAATAATTCTATGGAATGATGAAAAAAATCTGTGTCCCCACAAAGTACAGTTGCTTGTTATTCTCCAAAGTTTAAGGGGGAACACCAATATCAAGGATGTAGTGACTGAGGGTTACTGTACAGAATTCTGTGATTGGCTCTGTTCCAGGTGCCCTCTTAGGCTGCAATGCCTAACAGGAGGTAGAGACATCTTTGACCACTAGAGGTCCTTTTCACATTCATTATGGTTTGTTCTTCTATTTTTGGAGTATTAACCAGAAAGGCTGGGTCATGACAATTCTTTTTTTAAGATCCAAGTTAATGCAGATTTGTGGATTTTAAGAATTGTCAAAGACACTCATTCTTGACTGATTCAAGTCATAAGAGAAAAAGGAGCCCATTGTGCTAAAAAAAAAAATGCATTCATAAAACTATTTCCTGGTAAGGAGTTAATCCATAACTGAAAGTGAACTTTGGATTGAATGAACATGGTGAACAAACTTTAAGAGATAAAATTTCCACTACTGATTCCAGTGATATAAGATTACAGGTTTCAGAAAAATGAAAAGTGAACAAAGAATTAAGTATACTTAAAAAAAATGAAGTTGCTAAGATATGAAGGTGGTCTCTCTGACAAAAAGCATCAATTTCACTGTAACAGTGAAATTTTTTTCTCTCTGATGTGTTCATGACCAGAAGAACATGAACCTAAGGCTTGAGCAGTTTCGCTATGTATGATCCTATCTCAATGACTTTGCAATGACCATGTTGGGACAGGAGGTATTCTGGCTCAAAATCTCCCATCTGTCCCTTAAGCTGTCAACAAATGGTTTAACTTACAAATAATATAGACATTTACAAATTACCAATCATCAGGTAATATCTAGGATCTACTAAGGATCCTGGAAATTCCATGAGCCAAAAGCTTCCCCAAATTCTCTGTGACTAATAAAACTTACTGTACCCATTGTAGGCATGGTACAATGCCAGTCTGGCCACTTCTTAGAAGCTCCCCAAATAGACCAGAGATGCATGTGTTCATATCCCCATCCTCTCATGAAAAATGCTCAGATCCAGGCCAAGCTCTGAGGGTGCTTCCCCCATGCCTGCTCTTCCCTGCCCTCCCCCACATCCCATTACTTACTTCCTCATTTGAAATACTCCTATCTCTTCCTCTCCAAATCCTCCCTATTTCATTCTTCCAACCTTGCTGTTTCCAGAAAGTAGTACTTACTGGGCCCACCCTCAAATGCTGACCCAGTCAACTTCAGTAGTGATCTTAATAACACTTATTTTGTGCTGTTGGGTACTGACTGCTTTGAATTATCCTGTTGTTTATCCTTTTCTTCAACTTTAAGGAAACAAGCTATCTTTTATATTACTTCTACACTTGAAGGTTATCCCTATGCACTAATTGTTTCTTAAGAAACCCAAAATGTTAAGATCAGTGGAAGATTCATCCTTAAAATAGTAATAAATACATGTTCCCAATAACTATGTCATCCAGAGTTAAAATGCACTTAGAATAAATTCTTTGACAGCAATTTTTGTCTGCCTTACACAGTGGCTGCCTCTAATACAGATTTTTCTGTTTTATTGAGTAATAAGAATAAAAGGAGAGCAGACTATACAGTAACAAAAGCTTCCTTTGACCATGAAATGATTTATTTAAATAAGAACATCTTTTGCATCAGAAGGCAAAATGTTCACAGGCCATTGACCCATTGTTGGAGGGGAAATGATTAGAGTAAGTTGGTTAGAACATATCGATGTGGCTGATAATGATTATAGATTTAACTGTGTCTAACTCTGTGTCCTCTGGCGAGAGTCAACAGCTGCCTTTCTGTGGGAGCGCTGGACTAGCTTGTTCACATGGCTGCTCCCACTCTGCTTGGTTCCTGGGAGCTCCAGGCACTGAGCCCTCACCTGCTCTACACACAGCTTTCTCCAAGAACTAAAGTGTAGCTATGTTGCTGATGAATCTTGAAAGGATGAGCCAACTGCCAAAAAAAACTTAAGCACAATGCTGCCTCTGTCTCCATCACCAGTCCCACTTTCCCACACTCTTACTTACTCATTCCAGTCCTTGTTATGTCTGGCCATCAATTAAGAACAGAACAGCCTTGCCACAAAACCTTGTGGTTCTTTGAGTTAAGGTCTTAGAAGGTCCTCTGACTTAACACTAAGCATATTAAGAATTGGGACTTTCCTCAAGGTCTGAGTTTAAATGTTATATCCTTGAAGAGTCCATTCCTGATGAACCATGGTGTCCAGTTTCCTGTCTGTTGTTTTCTTAATAACATTTATGACTAGTCGGTATCAAACTTCTTATTCACTTATTGTTTTCTGTCCACCTTATGAACACAAAGGAGTTACAAAGCGTAGGAACTTGATCTCCCTGGTCACCTACCACCTGTGCCAAGGCTAAACAGAGTGTCTGAGATCCAGAATGTGTTCAATCAGGGTCTGTACAGTGGCTGAATTACCAGCTTTGCTGCAGATATGACCATTTGTCAGGAACCTGTGACATTAGTATAGATCGATCTTAGGTGACTTGTGAAAAAGGAAAGTAGTAGTTCAGGAAAGAACATTCCAGAACTGAAACATTTTCAACATTCAATCCAATTTCTAGTCAGGCACAAGACTTAGATCCAGAATGAACTGTAAGATTCTTCCCAGCTTAAATTTACAGAGCACAGGTAGTATCTCTAAAAGGAAATTGACTTCAAGATGTGAGTCACACTTCAAACATTGTTCTGTTTGCTCAGAAGTGAGAACGGGTGATAGTGCAGCACAGGTGTACTGTAAATATTTGGTGAAATGAACTGAACAAAGAGAACAAATAAACAGGATGTGTTCTTCCTTCTTTTCTACCCCCACTCCAGTAAAAATGATTGGCTCAAGTACTTGCCAACAACCTGTTCTCATCCTCCCCATTTCCCCTCCTCAACTCTGGACATTCCAATTTCTGCAATATGCACTGTGGTTGATTTATCTTCACATCCAGCTTCTCATGTTTCAGGACTAGAGCATAACAGGACTTTGTATGTGAGGGAAAATGATTCAATTTCATGTCATTTTCTAACAAGTGGTGAAGTTGAGTTTATAGAGGAATTCAAATTGTGAGATCTTGAAAAGGCAAATAATTTCCCATAGCAAACTTTTATAGATTTATGTTTTCTTTCCAAAGTGTCATTTGAATAATGAAGAAATGCCAAAGTTATAAATTTTCATGACAGAATCTAAGGAAGAATGTGGTCAAACTTTGAATTTTAATATCCTTGATTAATTAATTCCCTGAATAAATCTCCTGAGCTGCTACTCAAATTGATTTCTCTTGTAGTCGTGTGAGGAATAGGGTACATAGTCCCAGTCTCTCACTGACATAACCCACTTATTTCATCTTTGGATAAAGTAGCTTGGAGGACAGGCTCTCAGTTCCCCTACATGTGAAGAGAAATCATGGAGTTGTATTCTGATGTTCATCAAGGCTGTGAGGTCCTATGAAGTCTGCATTCAATTTAGGAGTTCAACCAATATTTTTATTTGCATTATGTAGTGAGATTTCATTTCAGATAGTATTTGGTAACAAGATGTTAGAG